ACCGTGTGCGCCGCAGGGGGTGCTCTCGACGTTCGTGGAACATGGTAGAAGTGCTCCAGGGAAATGGTGAGGATCACACCGTTAGGTCCAGCCCTCGGGGAGCTAGCTGGCTGCTGAGTGTGCTCACAGGGACGCGCCAGGAACGCTGTAACGGGTGCTGAGCCAACAGACGTCAGGAGGAATGGAAGCAGATCTCCGCAGGGTCTTTCTTAAGGATAGGCCGTTGATCTGTCCTTGGAAGACTGAGCCAGGGTTGAGCCCCAAATCTGGTCCTACGTCAGCGGTACCAGGGCCTCCTAGAGAGAATGGCAGAGGGGATGCAACCCAAAGGAGTGCAGGGGGAAGGAGGCTGGAGGCGGAGAGTGCAGGACCTGGCATCGGAACGTGCCAGGGCCAGGAAGGCGGGTGCAAACACAACAGCCCGCCCAGGGCTTCGCCCAGCTGGTGCCCCTGCTGCCGGCCCAGGGGCACGCTCCAAACAACAGCTTGGCTAGGTGCCTGAGCAGGTGGGAGCTTGGGCTTCCTTCTGTGGCAGCTGGGAGCACTTGAAGGTTCTGGAGTGAGAGCAACGGCTGTGCAGAGCAGAGGCGCGGGGAGGTGGGTCTGGCAGGAGCTAGACCGAGCAGCAGAGGGAGAGGCTCGTCAGGACGTAGTCTTCCGTAGGCTTGGCAGGAACTGGCAGTGGCACAAGATCGGAGCGAGGTTCATTCTCTGTTTGTAGCGGGGTGCTTTTTCTTTGTTTCCTTTGGAAGGAGTAAGAAGAATGCCTGCACTTGCCCTCTCCTCTAGCACAGGCTCCTCGCCCCCCACCCGCACCTCCCATGCTGGCCTGTACCCTCTCCCCTCCTTGAATTCTAGGGGCTGTCTGCACAGGGCGAGTCCCACGCACTCAGGGGCTCACTGAGGACCCTTTGCAGTACTGTCCAGCCCAGCCTTTCTCCAGAATCCAGGCCTTTTCCCATTTCAGGCCCCCTGACTCTTTTCTCTAGGATGCTCCCAGCGCATCACCGTTGACTTTTCCCCCCCCCAGGAGTCTCCCCCGACCTCAGTGTTGCCTGAAAGCCCTCACACCCCATGCACATGCCCATCACACTGGGCACCCAAAGCCAGGGCGCCTGGCCACCCCGGGTGGCCTCCCTGGCCTCCCAGCCGGTGGGTCTGGTCCCGTCAGGCCGATGGCACTTGTGGTGACCGAACGCAGACTGTGTTTGTCTTGTGAGTCAGTGCCTGATGGCTTCATTCTAAAAGGTTATGAAAATAACCCAGTACTCGTGTGACTTTCTTTTTGGTTGGGGGAGGGAGGAAGGGATTCTGTTCTTTATGAGAATGATAAACATTTTATTGAAGCATTTCTTTTAATAATTCCTTTTTTTTAAAGGATTTTCGATGTCTAGATGTGTTCATTTTCAGTGATAGCCTGGCATTTTTCATATTTGTGATCTAAACCCTGTCTTTCCAGAACTCCCCCAGAGATTACCTAGCGTATAAAATTATTTTTTAAAAATTAACATAAATTTTTATTAATCCTGGTGTATAATTTGTGGGAAAGGCTTCAGGGGAACCCTCATTAGGGTGAATAATTTTATCTGAGGTACCAGAAAATATTCAGAGTCAATACTGTGGTTTTTCAGTGTTCTATGAAAGGAATATGAAGCACTGATGAGAGAGTACATTTTGGAAGAGGGACAGCGGGGGCATGGGACAATGCTCACAGAACCAGGCGGGCTGCAGAAGGAAGTGGACCTGCTCTGTCTGCAGGATTCTCCAGATTGTCTAGAAGCAGATGGGGCGAAATGCACACAGGTTACCTGTGGTTATATTTAGGTGGTGGCTTACTTTCCTCTGTTGTCTTAGTGGCTTCTTCATTTTTAACTGTGTTTCGTACCTTTTTTTTTTTTTTAAGATTTTATTTATTTATTTGAGATAGAAAGAGGGATAGCACACAAGCAGGCGGAGTGTCAGGCAGAAGGAGAAGCAGACTCTGTGCCGAGCAGGGAGCCCGATGTGGGACTCGATCCCAGGACCCTGAGATCCTGACCTGAGCTGAAGGCAGACGCTTCACCGACTGAGCCAGGCAGGCGCCCGGTGTTCGGTATTTTGTACGATAAGCATATACGTTGTAAGGATTCCAAACGTCAGTAGCCACTTGAGTAGGAAGGGTTTCTTCCCTATCTGCTGGGATGACCATAGTATGGTATGTGCCTGTGGACTGAACCCTATTTCCAGTACTCCTGGGATTGTGGGGCTCCACGCACAGTGTGGGGCGTTGTTGGTCTTTGTGGCACCCCTGCGCACGCCTCCCGGCACAGAAGCAGGACCTCGGGCATCTCTGGGGCGAGCCGCACAGGCCTCCATGGCTGTAGTGAGCTGCCCACCCTCCCCTCCTGGCTGTTTCCAAGGCCAGAACGTTCCTTCTGTGTTTTCCCCCATAGAGGGGCTTCCTTCCTGGTCTCCCCAGTCGGCTTCCATCAGTCGGTGGACAAGGAGGGAGCATTCCTTTGGCAGCCAGAGCGCTCGGTCCCCAGTGAAAAGGATCTTAAACCGGCTCCCGCTTCTGTTCGAGCTGGAGCCAGAGGGACAGTGACGGTGTGTGCACACGAGGTGGCGCCAGAGCGC